CGCCCCGTCCCTGACTGCAAAAGAGACCTGTGAGAAGGTGTGTGACCCCTCACCCCGGCCTTGGGCCCGAGCCACGGACTTTTTGGTGAGTGGCAAATGCCCTTCTGCATGGATTCGGGTCCCTTCTGCCTGGAATGCGTCTAAGGAGGGCGTGGACGTGTATCCACTCACCCGTAATGGCTCTGACGAGAGGGGAGGGACAGAAAAGGGAGTAAGAGGAAGCAGGACAAAGCAGGGATGCGGTAGGCTTCCAGGTCATGCCCTTGACCCCCCATCTAGTCTTCTAAGCCTGAGGTGGGGGCTGTGTAAGCGGAGTTACTCCATGGGTTAACTGGGTTTTGAGAAACTGGGGGTTGCAGAGAGAACTGAGCGGGGAGGGGGGGTTCATCCGCTCTCCCTGCTATGTTTATGCTCACAGACGCTGGCGATGACCGTCTGCGTCTTCCTCGCGGGTGGCTTTCGGAACCCCCGCCTCTGCGCCCCGGAGCGGTGGGCTCCATTCCCGCCCAGCCTCCTCCAGGCGTTGCCCTGGCCCCGGCCTAGGCTTCGGCTACTGCTGCTGCTGCTATTCCTGCCGCCCTCTGCCCTCTCCGCTGTATTCACAGTGGGGGTGCTAGGACCCTGGGCCTGCGACCCCATCTTCGCCCGCGCCCGCCCAGACCTGGCCGCCCGCCTGGCTGCCACCCGCCTGAACCAAGACCCAGCCCTGGAAGGCGGTCCCCGCTTCGAGGTCTCACTCCTGCCGGAGCCCTGCCGGACCCCTGGCTCGCTGGGGGCGGTGTCGTCTGCCCTGGCCCGTGTCTCTGGTCTCGTGGGTCCGGTGAACCCTGCAGCCTGTCGGCCGGCTGAACTACTAGCCCAAGAGGCGGGGGTTGCGCTGGTGCCCTGGGGGTGCCCGGGGACACGGGCGGCGGGCACGACGGCCCCCGCAGTGACGCCCGCGGCGGATGCCCTCTACGCCCTCCTTCGCGCTTTCCGCTGGGCGCGTGTGGCCCTCATCACCTCCCCCCAGGACCTGTGGGTGGAAGCCGGACGCTCACTAGCCACGGCATTGAGGGCCCGGGGTCTGCCCGTTGCCCTGGTGACCGCCATGGAGCCCTCGGACTTGTCTGGAGCTCGGGAGGCCCTGAGAAGGGTCCAAGACGGGCCCAAAGTCCGAGGTAGGCTCCAGGCAGGGGACGGGGAGGTCGGCGATCCCGCCGGCAGAGGGCAGAGCAGCAAGCGGAGTCTCTGTGTCCGTCCGCAGCAGTGATCATGGTGATGCATTCGGTGCTGCTGGGCGGCGAGGAGCAGCGCTGCCTACTGGAGGCTGCAGAGGAGCTGGGCCTGGCCGATGGCTCCCTGGTCTTCCTGCCCTTTGACACGCTTCACTACGCCTTGTCCCCAGGCCCGGAGACCTTGGCCGTGCTAGCCAACAGCTCACAGCTTCGCAGGGCCCACGATGCGGTGCTCACCCTCACGCGCCACTGTCCCCCTGGGGGCAGCGTGCTGGACAGCCTGCGCAGGGCCCAAGAGCATCAGGAGCTGCCCCCTGATCTTAATTTGCAACAGGTAGAGGGACTAGGGAGGAGAGAAGAGAGGAGGAAAGCCGGGGAAGAAAGCAGAGGATAGCCAAAAAGGAGAGAAGAGACTGGAGGCAATGGGAAGAGAAGCTGATAAAGTTAATGGAATGAGAGGAGGATGGAATCAATGGGAGGGAGGAGGAGGATGCCAATAGAGAGAGAATAACTAGCAGCATTATCTGTTCTGGAGTTTCTTGGGTAATGTAGAGGTTCTGGTCTTGCCTGGGGCACCTTAGTGTCTTGGAATTGCTTCCAAAGAGACTACAATGAGACCTCTCACATCCAGCTCCAAGGAACAAATTCTAATGAACTCTATACTACAACATCTTTTGCAGTCTACTTCAAAGAAATTCACTTCCAGTATCACCACAACATACAGTCTATAATAAACAGCTCATGTTCTTAAGAGAGCAGGAAGGAGGGGTCATGCAGAACCAATCTCCATGCCCAGTTCAGAGGTGTTCCCTCTGGGGCTTCATCTAGTGGTCTTAACTTTTGGAGAATGAGAAAGGTCCCTAGGCGAAGCCAGGAGCTTCCATAATCATTCAGATTCATAGCTTATTCCCAACAATGAGCTAATACTCAGGATTTCCTGAGAACCCAGAATCCCAGTTCAGACTATCTAGCTCCTCCCTATTCATAAAAGAGAGGCTACAAACCACTTAGAAGGGAATTTAGATGTCGGTGGGCAGTAAACTAACGTCTACAAAGGCCCTACTCAAAGAGTTGTACATGAGAGAGGGCTTTGAGTTGTGGGGAGGTAAAATATTCCCCACCAATGCCCCTAGTCTCCTCCAAGAGGATCTGGGGTAGCCCATGGGGAGAAAGGATAGGAATAGTCAGCAAGAGGAGGAAAGCAAGAGTTAGGAACAGTGGTGCGATGGAAGGTGGAGAAAGAGAGTGGAGAAAGTGGTGAAAAAAAACTCTTCAGTTCTCAGTAAGGAGCACAGCCTTCCTCCATCCGCGTGTCCGAGTGAGACCTGGGAGTCACCCTTGATTCCTCTAACCCTCCCTCCTACCCCACACCCAGACATCAAGTCCTGTCACTTTAACTTCCTAAAGGTCATTTGAATCCACCCGCTTTCTCCATTCTCACTGTCACTGCCCTCATTCAGGCCACAGCATCCTGGCCCAAATCTCAAAACAAAATTTCCCAAATGGTCCCTGTTTCAACATTTACCTACCCCCGGCCTTTCTTCACTCAACAATCAGATTGAACTTCAGAAATCTGATTGTGTCACGCCTCTGTTCAAAGCATCCCAGTGGCTTCTCTTGCCCTAGATAGATGCAGGCGTACTGTTCTCTCTCTCTTGAGCCAACTCTCCCCCAGATAATTCTGACTCATGCCCTGAGGGGTGGTCCCTTCTTCTGGAAGTCTCCTTTTCCCCCAGTCTGGGTTGGGTCCCTCTTTCCTGTCTCTGTAGCTCCCTCAGTTACCTCCACCCTTACTCATTGCATTGCCTTAACATCCCTGTCTGTTTCCCCCACTAGATGAAAGATTCTCCCAAACAAGGACTCTGTCTTTATACCAATATATCCTTAGTGCTTTGTATAGTGCCTGGCACTGTGAAAGATGGGATCTGGGACTAATAGGCTTGATGAGGCTTTGGGGAACAAAAAGAAGAAAAAATTGAAAATAGAAGCTAACTAAAAGATGGGAAAGAAGGTTTTGAGGTGAATGGTAGATAATAATATTAAAAATGTAACTCAGTGGCAACCAACAGGAAAGGGAAGAGAGGATCTGTAGGTAATAAAGAGTTAGAACCAATGGTGAGAAGAGCCTAAGTATCCTGAAAAGAGGGAAGGCCAGTGGAGAAAGGGGTGGGATAGCCCATGGGAGAGAGGAAGAGAGAGCCAGTGGGGAGGAATACAGGGAACCTGGTGCTGTGAACAGTCAATATCCTAGGGCTTGAAGGGCTTGAAGAGCCCAGTGAAACAATAGGAAGGCCAGTAAATCTCTGTCTATTTATGGGCTGTGACCTCAAACCCTGAGCCCTCTTCTCTCCTTCTCCAGGTATCCCCACTCTTTGGCACCATCTATGATGCGGTCTTCTTGTTGGCCGGTGGCGTGGCACGAGCTCGGGCAGCTGTAGGTGGCAGCTGGGTGTCCGGAGCAGCTGTGGCCCGCCACGTCCAGAATGCCCAGGTCTCAGGCTTTTGTGGCGTCCTGGGAGGAGCTGAGGAGGCCCCATTTGTGGTGCTGGACACAGATGAGGCAGGGGACCGACTATTCGCCACATACGTGCTGGACCCCACCCGGGGTTCCTTCCGCTCTGCTGGGAACCCGGTGCATTTCCCTAGAGGGGGACAGGGGCCTGGGCCTGACCCCTCCTGCTGGTTCGACCCAAACACCATCTGCAACGGAGGTGAGGGCAAAACACTCCAGCCCCCACTGGGACAATCACCATGGCCCCTGTACAAAGTGGTGAAAGAGGGTGAACTCTCTTCCTATAACTCCTCTTCGAGGTCTTTTTAGGTCCTTCTCAGACCCAAGACTTGTGCAGGATCCCTCTCTTGCTGAGCCCCCAAAGCCCTCTAGCATTCCCAGATGCTCCCCTTTGCAAAACCCATGACCTTTCTCTAGTTCCCTTTCTCGGCTCCCATTCCCTTTCCTGGAGCCTCTAGGAATTGACATGACTGCATATCTCCCTCCTTTCCTCCACGGTCTATCCTCAGCTTCCTTTTTCTCACTGCCCCTCCAGGAGTGGAGCCTGGCCTTGTCTTTATCGGCTTCCTCCTCGTGGTTGGGATGGGGCTGACAGGGGCCTTCCTGGCCCATTATGTGAGGTGAGTAGGGAATTGAGGTAAGTAGGAAATGAGTTTGCCTCTCTACCTGCCAGAAATGCAACCGTGGAGCAAAGACAGCAGGCTTGGTCCACTCAAGAAAGAAGTGAGATTTCTTTGGAAGGTGGGAGGAGAAGGGGTCCTGGAGGGCTGGCAGAGTTCCAGGGGATGTCTGGTTTGGGAATGGCTGCCCTCCCCTGAGTCAACATTATCCACTGCTGGCCTCCTCTCATGGACCTCAGTCCCCTTTGCAGAGACGACCTCCTTCCCCTACCAGGCACCGGCTACTTCACATTCAAATGGTTTCCGGCCCCAACAAGATCATCCTGACTTTGGACGACATCACCTTCCTCCACCCGCAAGGGGGCAGCTCTCGAAAGGTGGGGGAGGCAGGGAGCCAGGATCCAGCTGTCCTCCCCTGTAGATCTATCTGGTCCTCTGCCTGGGCCAGCCCTCACTCCAGCCTCACCTGGGAAGGGGATCTTGTTTCCGCCCTAGCCCTGTCCCAGGTCTGAGTTCTGGAGATCAGCACTGTCGCATGTGCAAGGAGGGTAACAGTCCCTGTCCTGACTGCTTTCCTGAGGCAGTGTGAAGCTCCAACAAGAAAATGAATGTTTGTTTTGTAAAATGCAAAGTGCTGTGCACTTGGGAAGTAATGTCATTATCACTTTCCTTAATTAAAATTTCTTCCCCTTCCCTCTTTAATCCCCAGAACTCTGCCTGACCTCACAGGATTCTTGAGTATATTTTGACCCCTTGCATTGACCTCTACCCTCCAGGTGGCCCAGGGCAGTCGGTCGAGTCTGGCTGCTCGCAGTGTGTCAGACATTCGCAGCGTCCCCAGCCAGGTCCCGGAGAGCTCCACCATTGGCCTCTATGAGGTGAGCCTGACCCCTAACTAGACTGAGCTCTATTCCTGGAGTCATGTCATATCCTGCAGGCTCCAGGAGATGGGGATAGGAGCCCAGAACAGGATCTAGGGAGAGGTCATGGATTTCTCAATGAGGAGCATCTGGTAATCCTTCCTGCCCCAAGGTTTTCCCTTAGCCATTATCCAGGCGAGGGCTCTTCAAACGCTGATCACATTGGCCCAGAGGCTGGAGGTCCGACTGGCCCGGGGAGTGTACTGGGAGAGGCATGCATCCTGGTGTGGCCACTGAGACCATCCCCCACCCTGTTGGGAGCCCCTGGCCCTGCCCCGTCAGTGATAAGCCTTCAGGTTACTGAAGGGCACAGGCCTCCCTAGAAAGGTTGGGACAGAGGGGCATCTGGGATGTGGCCTCCTGGTCACAAAAAGAATATTTCCAGGACATGATTTGTTCAGGATGGGGCGTTTCAAGGAGAAGCTACCCCACACTCAAGCCAGACCCACATCTTGGCCCCACTCAGCATTTCTACCCAATTCCAACCAGATTCAGGGAGAGCAAGCCTTAGAGGAGAAAAAGAAAGTCACAAAAGAGCATGAGGACTTTAATTAGGGGGTTAGCGAATCTTAATGTGGTGGGATAGAGAGGAGATAATGAGAACAAATTCGGGGAGAGCTGAGAGAGAGCTTAGCTAATCAAGAGGGGTGGGGAGATTTAGAGCTCCTGTGTGTCAGGTCACAGCGAAAATGCAGAGACTCTTAGTATGTCACCTAGAGGCCAGCACAGTCATTTCTCAGAGGAGCACTATTGTCACTTGGGGCAGGTTGTTTTTCCCTGTATGGGACTACCCTGTGCCTTCAAGAGTGTTAATGTCCCCTGTCTCTGGCTCTGTTTACTAAACATAGCTCTCAGTTTTTGTGACAAAAATTCTTCACATTTATTTCGAAATGCTTTTTAGGAGTCAGTATCAACCCCCCAAAATTCTTTTCTCATCCAAATCCCTTATCAACAAACAAGGCCAGCTACAAGGTTAGGACAAAATAAAAAATGAAGTTTCCCTTATTCATTCAAGATGACAACAGCAGGTCTTTGAACCAAACTCAGGTCCTTTCGAGCCTTTGGGGCCCTGTGTGACTGCATAGATTGGATGCCCATGAACCGACCCTGCCAACAGCTGAGGACAAGGAGGCTCAGAGCCTGGAGGGGAGCTGCCTATACTTCACAGTTAGTCTGTAATAAAGCCTGATGTACTCAAACTCCTGACTCCCAGCACAGCGTTCTCTCATTGCAACAGACGGTGATGAGGGTTATGATTTCAAAGACATTCGTGGTGGTAATGTCTTGCTTAATAGGACTGTTGGTGAGCACATCTGGGGTGGGAGGATAGCTATTCAGGCTTTCTGTATCTTTTACCCAGGAGTACACTCTCACCCAGCTAGCTGTGAAGTGGCCTGGCAGACATCAGACCCCTGGCTCCTGATGCCCTCTGTCACATGGAAGATGTGTTCTAGGGCAGTGGGCCAGTGGAAATGGGGGCTCTAGGGCTCTTTGCATCATGGTATATAAGAAACTGAGTTCACTACTCCCATCTCTGCTTTAGGGAGACTGGGTTTGGCTGAAGAAATTCCCAGGGGATCAGCACATAGCCATCCGCCCAGCAACCAAGACAGCCTTCTCCAAGGTGAGAGTTGAGCCAGTGACGGGGTGTGGGGTGGCCATCATTTCTACCTCCTTGCCTTCTCTTTGCAGCTGGGTACAGAGGTAGGCCCCAATGTGGGAGAAATCAAGAGGTCTCAATGAAGTGTCCTCTTCCCTCTAAAGCAGGTTTCCTATTATGCTTTCTCACAACACTAGTTTTTTCCTTTGATGTACTTGTCATAATTTATAATTGTATGTCCATCTGTGTGCTTGATTATTTCTTATCTGCCTCCCTAACTAGACTGTAAGCTGACTAAGGGCTTCCCCCTGCCCACTCCATTGTATTTCCAGTACCCAGCACAGTGTCTGGAACATTAGAAAGATCCAATGAATGTTTGGTGAGTGAATGATAGAAAATAAAAAATGGGTTTCCAGTTCTGTCAGGCCATTCGTGCGGAATGGTCTAGTTGATGCATACTGAATGAAGTGAAAAGTTGGCAAAGAGGCTATAAACTGGCTTATTTTGGTCCTTCCAACCCTTACCCCCAAGGGTTGGAAGGACCAAAATAATTACTATGCAGCCTTGGCCTGTCCTCCTTCTCTGATGCCTCCATGGAAACTCTTGGTCATAGCTTCAAAATAACTTAAGTGACTACCTGGATGAGTCAATGGACTAAATCATCATTTACCAGCAGGCATTTAAGATGAAAAGAAGCCTCTTATTGAACTAAAGGAAAGCAAGAAAAGGCACCAGTCACCTTCTAGCCCCTGTTTTCCCAGCATGCCCAGATAGTGAGGGTCTCTGTCCTGTGGAATGGGTGTGGCCTTGTTGATGGCTCTCTAGGACCAGAGCTTGATTATTCAGTCCCTACTTCCCAAACCTGGGGAGGGTGGGAGTCTCAGACATAGCTGATGCAATGATGTAACCTAGCGAAGCAGCCTTGGACCATGTAACCAGCACATGACATTGTTTTTTAGAAGCAGTGCAACTTCTCCCTGGTTCTCCCCTCAAAAGCTGTTACATCAGAATGGGAGGGTGGTGAAGCTAGGGCTTTCTTCTACATGAGGTGTTTTTCCTTAAGACCAGGGCAATTCGAAGTCTGGTGGTTAATAAATCAGAACCTGCTTGGATCCTGAAGACTAGTGCAAGGGTGTCTTTTCATTCATAACTTTAAACTAAACCATACTCAGTATCTGAGCGGTGGCCTTTGAGGATGCTGTCTTCCAGAGAGAGAAGTTATCTGTAGAAGAAAGCCCCGCTACCTACCTTATAGACCTTCCATTCACCATTTTCATCCCATTTTCAGAGTTCGGATACTCAAAAACAGACCTGAATAATAGCCTCCTTCCCACCTTGCTCCCAGGGCAGAAAATGCCTGTTAACTTTCCCCATTTCAGCTCAGAGAGCTCCGGCACGAGAATGTGGCCCTCTACCTGGGGCTCTTCCTGGCGGGAGGAGCAGACAGCACCGCGGCGGCCCCCGGGGAAGGCATGCTGGCTGTTGTCTCAGAGCACTGTGCCAGGGGCTCCCTCCATGACCTTCTCGCCCAGAGAGACATAAAGCTGGACTGGATGTTTAAGTCCTCCCTCTTACTGGATCTTATCAAGGTGCTTGTGGGGGAGGGGGTGGAGAAGGTGCAGGGTGGATAGGGTAGGGGAGCCGCCGGTTGAGGTCGCCTCCTACCCCACCCCTTCCAGGGAATGAGATATCTGCACCATCGAGGTGTGGCCCATGGGCGACTTAAGTCACGGAACTGCGTGGTAGACGGGAGGTTCGTGCTTAAAGTCACCGACCACGGCCACGGGCGATTGCTGGAAGCCCAGAAGGTGTTACCAGAGCCTCCCAGCGCAGAGGGTATGATTCCTCAGCTGCCTTTATCGCAGACGAGCATCCCCCGGGATCCCTATTATTTCCAGGGCCCTTCCTTCCTTCCCTCCTTCCCTCTGCCCTCGCATTCTCTCCATCCTGCAACCACTGGACACGACTTCTGCTTCTGAAAAGGTCTTGTGACCTCTGAAACGAGGGTGGACTGTATGACTGGGAAGGTGAAGGCATGTTAGTGGGCGGGACTTGTGCCTGAGAGGCGGAGCTCCTGCTCTTGCAACCTGGTCTGTTCTAAGAGGAGCTTCGCCTGAGTGCGGGGCTTGTGCCCAAGGGGTGGAGTCTTCTCTGGCCACCGCATTGTCTAAAGGGCGGGGCCTGTTTGTGAGGGCTGGGCTTTTTCTGAGATCTCCTTTGGGTTTCTGGTACTTTGCCCTGGAGACAGCTGCAGGCAGCGGGGCCACACTCAGGCTGGGGGATTGGTGAGTGGGTGCGAGCCTGGGCTTTCTGGAGAGGGGTGAAAGTTTGTCCCTAGCGTCCCCGAGGCCCTCCAAGTGCCCACGCTCTCTTCCCCGACCCCAGATCAGCTATGGACAGCCCCAGAACTGCTTCGAGACCCAGCCCTGGAGCGCCGGGGAACGCTGGCCGGCGACGTCTTCAGTCTGGGCATCATCATGCAGGAGGTCGTGTGCCGCAGCGCCCCCTATGCTATGCTGGAGCTGACTCCCGAGGGTACGGCCGCTCCTTGCCTGGCGTTTAGGCTAGAAAGGCACCCTGCTGTTAGGCAGAGCCCGGCCAGACCCAGTCTCCTTCTTTTCCCTGAAGTCCAGGGCTGAGACTTAAATATGTGGGCCTCCCTTAAAGATGAGGTCTGAAGGGTCAGGGCAGTAGAGAGCCAAGCGTCAGGATAGGAGGAGGCGGCTCTTAGGAGCCTCAGACCTCAGACCTCAGTGGTTTCTTCTGATCTTGGACTCCAACCTGCTCCCCCAACCGATGGAACAGGCTCTTCTCTGGTTCTTCGGAGCCTCAAGGAGGCAGCAGGGTGAAGGTAAGGGAGGAAGAGAACAACTGGATATGGTTCAAATCCATATTACTTATCTATAGGATTCAACAAACTACTTGATCACCCTAATTCTCACTTTTCTCATGTGTAATAAATGTTAGTCTCTGCCTGTCACCTATTACTGACCCCTGCCCCCCAGGATTCAGGGTCTCCCAGCAACCCCCTTCCACACTACACTTTCCCACCTACCAAAGCTCTGATTTAAAAGACTCCCTTCCAGTTCTCCCATCTTGGGCTTCAACAATCAGGCCAGAGTCAGAGGTGGCTTCTGTTCTGGCACACTCCCTCTCATGGTCCCCTCATGCCTGCAGAAGTGGTGCAGAAAGTGCAGAGCCCTCCTCCACTGTGTCGGCCCTTGGTTTCCATGGACCAGGCGCCCATGGAGTGCATCCAGCTGATGAAACAGTGCTGGGCAGAGCAGCCAGACCTTCGGCCTTCCATGGACCGCACCTTTGACCTGGTTAGAGGCTGGGATTGGGCAAGGGCTGGCTTGCCACTTGTCAGCAACCTAGGGAGGCTGCAGGAAGGCAGGTTGGCAGGATTTCTGACTTCCAGGTTACTTGCTAAGAGATAGCCTCCAGATTGGTGGTTTGGTGAGGGCAGAGTTAGAACAGGCACTATGGAGGCCTTTGGAGCAAGAGTGGCGTTCTGGGCAAGAGAAATATTTAATTCAACTCAACATTTATTGAGAACCAAGTATGTGCTTGGCCTAGTGTGGCAGAAAGACCCTGGCCTGGGAGTACAAAGGCTGGGTTGGTTCTGGTGACCTGTCTATTACTAGCTATGAACAGCTGACTTTGTGGAACCCCCATTTCCTGTGTGCCTGCTAATAATGTGTGAAAACACAGTGCCCAGAACCTGGAGGGTAGAGTGGGTGATGTGGCTGGATGAATTGAAGATGAATGGGTTGTGGAGAGAATCAGGCACAATACAAACACGAGAGGGGCATGGCAGCCCAAGTCCTCAGCAGTCCCACCAGCTTCCTCCTCCTACTAGTTCAAGAGCATCAACAAGGGCCGGAAGACCAACATCATCGACTCCATGCTGCGGATGCTAGAGCAGTATTCCAGTAACCTGGAAGACCTGATTAGAGAGCGCACGGAGGAGCTAGAGCTGGAAAAGCAGAAAACAGACCAGCTGCTCACGCAGATGCTCCCTCCGTGCGTGCCAATGGGGAGAGGTGGGTGGGGAGGGCAGCTGGAATCCAGCCAGACTGGGGTGGCCTCCAGATAACCTCACCACCTGCCATCCCTAGGTCTGTGGCTGAGGCTCTGAAGATGGGGACACCTGTGGAGCCTGAATATTTTGAGGAGGTGACACTGTACTTCAGCGACATAGTGGGCTTTACCACCATCTCAGCCATGAGTGAGCCCATCGAAGTAGTGGACCTGCTTAACGACCTCTATACGCTCTTTGATGCCATCATCGGCTCTCACGATGTCTACAAGGTGGGCTGTGTGGAAACAAGCCCTCCCTCAGGTTCACCAGCCTCCAGCCCAGCCCTTCCTGCTCAGCCCTCAGGCCATCAGCCCAGTTCACTTTCCCAGCCCTCCGGTTCCTCATCTCATTTGCCGGTCCCCAGCTCAGTCCCCCAGCTGGAGAGTTCCCCAGAATCTCTTCACTAAACCCAGTTTAGGCATCTCGACAAGGAATAATCACCTCGGGGGAGAGATGTGCTCAGTGCTGAATTCGTACAACCCCATCCCTCAGGTGGAGACAATTGGGGACGCCTATATGGTGGCCTCCGGGCTGCCCCAGAGAAATGGGCAGCGACACGCAGCAGAGATCGCCAACATGGCACTGGATATCCTCAGCGCCGTGGGCTCCTTCCGCATGCGCCACATGCCTGAGGTGCCTGTGCGCATCCGCATTGGCCTGCATTCGGGTAATTCCCCACCTCTCAGCTCTCAAGTCCAGCTCCCGCCCCAGGGCCAAGCTTCCAATTTCCCAGATAGTAGGCAAACTCGGGGAGTGGGAGGAAGGGTGGCTTGTCTTGAAGCCATCTTTGCATACCAGGCACTCCGTTGTAATTGAGAGGATATGCTTGAGAGCGTGTCTTTGGGGAGTCGGTGGAGATTATGAGATGCTAAAGTCTCCCGAGGCCCTAGGTGCCAACCAGCCGCCAACTTCTGCCCAATCCTGGCCCTCCCGTCAACCCCGTGCATCTCCGCAGGCCCATGCGTGGCGGGTGTGGTGGGCCTAACCATGCCGCGGTACTGCCTGTTTGGGGACACGGTCAACACAGCCTCGCGCATGGAATCCACAGGGCTGCGTGAGTGTGATAGGGTTGGTAGGGGCTGGGGAAGGTAGGGCAACGTCGCAGGGCTGGGTGTGTGTGGGGTGGGGAGGGGAACAGCGGGGAGAGGGGCGTGAGAGGTGAGTGTGCTAAGCTCACGCGTCCCCTGTTGCTCCAGCTTACCGCATCCACGTGAACGTGAGCACCGTACAGATCCTCCGCGCTCTCGACGAGGGCTTCCAGACCGAGGTGCGAGGCCTCACGGAGCTAAAGGTGAGGCAGGGCACGCCGCGTCCCGGGCCTAGGCTGAGAGTCACAGCTTGCCACGCCCGACCCCAATTCCACTTAGACCTCCAGATCTACTCTCCCTCACCCCAGCCCACTTACGTCTTCCCCTTCCTCGTGTCTTCTCAGGGCAAGGGTGCAGAGGACACGTACTGGCTGGTGGGCAGACGAGGCTTCCATAAGCCCATCCCCAAGCCGCCTGACTTGCAACCCGGGTGAGGAGCCGGCATCGGTGGGCGGGGCGAGTTACAAGGGATGGGCACAGGCCGCGTCGGCCCTACTCTCAGCCTTCGGCCCTGTGCCAGACTCTGTTCAGCTGCAAAGTAGCGATGACCAGGACCCTGCCCTCCCACCCCCTATTCCGGATCCCTGAGGCCACCACCCTCTCCACACAGGGCCAGCAATCACGGCATCAACCTGCAGGAGATCCCCCCCGAACGGCGCAGGAAACTGGAGAAGGCGAGGCCGGGCCAGTTCTTCGGGAAGTGAGGCCGGACTAGAACAGGTGCTGCCTGGCTCTCAGCTCTCACGCTCAGCTGCCAATCTCCCCTCAGACTCTCGGAGTGGGGGGGGGGTACACACCTCTAGGAGGTGCTTCTTTGGGGACAGGTGCTTCTTTGGGGACAGGCGCCTCTTCCCCAGGGCTAGCCTTGCCTGCAGAACTTCCCACCCAAGCCAGGTGTCGTGGTTTCTCTCAGACTTAGTGAGCCCAGGCTGGTTCCTAAACCCAGAGATTTTCTCTGACCAGGAAGCACCAGCCGCTCAGATTCAGGTTTGATAGGTCAGGAGTGGTCCAGGAATTCAGACCTGGAACTCCTGTAACCATGACCTTCTGTGACCTCTCCTCTAACACCAACTTCATTATCCCCACCCCTCCAGGCTGTGCACTGCACAAGAGAGAAGTCTAGGAGGCACCATTCATCAGAGGATAAGATGATTGCTGCCCCTAGAGTTTTTATTTTATTTTATTTTATTTATTTTATCTTATCCTATCTATCTATCTATCTATCTATCTATCTATCTATCTATCTATCTATAATTTATTTATTTATTTACTTACTTATTTACTTATTTACTTACTTACTTATTTATTTATTTATTTATTAGAGTTCTTTTAGAACAGAAACTTTCCTGTCTTCTACTCTCCTTCAAGAAACTGATTCACCACTCTCCCCTTCCCAGGCAAACCCCCATGACTCCCTTCCAAGATTTCT